TTTTACTATTGGAATATTTTTATTCATTATTCAAATGCTATTGAATATTTGATTCAAATTAAATGATTAGTTTATAGAAAATATAAATCTGTAAAACTGAAATATCTTCTTTATTCTCATCTGTTTCTCAATATAAGTAGATTCTGTGAATTAATTTGTACAGGAGACAAGAAACAGACTAAACTCCATCAGTTTTAATTGACAATGAATAACAAATAGTAAAAATTCAAGTTGGATTTGAAACACTATTCAAATGTGAACATCTGAGAGAGAGAGAGAGAGAGAGAGTTGGGGGTTTAACCTCCACTTGAAACAAACTAGGTCATTTTGGGACTAACTTATGGTTCAATTTTATTTCAATAATTCGCATGCGTGTAGGGGTCTTTAGTAGTGGGAGGAAACCGGAGGACCTGGAGAAAACCCACAAGGTTGGCGGCTGACCCTACTCTTTGTCACGTACAGCCAGGGATGCAAAACCTACAACCAGGGATGGAAAACCACGCTATTTGACTCAATGACAGACCTTATGATACAACGCAGACGTGTTAACCATTCGGATATCCAACCCCCCTTCTACTTCTATAAATGAAATGAAATGGAGTTTAAGGTCCTACTGTTCTGCTCCGAACTGGGCTCATGAAGACGGGCAAATGCCACAGTGTGCTATGAGGGAAATAATGCCCAGACAATGACACTTTGGCCTACTTTTATATCGAATTCCAGCTGTCAAGGGATCTTTTACATGCACCCCAATGTGTACACAGGACCTCGGTTTTACATCCCATCCAAATGACTAGAGAGCTGTCCTTGTCAAACCCTCCGTACTGCATCACTGACAAGGGGGAACCACGCCGGAAAATCTGGATGAATTTTCTCGGCCAATACAGGGATCGAACACCTGACCTCCAGGCTAGCGAGCCAGTGTCTTACCCACTTAGCCACTGTCCCCCCCCCCCCCCTGCTACTTCTATAACTATTACACTTATTTTACTGCCATTATTTAAATTAAAGTCACAAACCTTGTCAGGAAGACTATTTTTATCAAACTGTAAAAGTTTCTTCAAAAACATGGCATCCCCTAACATATGTTTTGCTGTCGTCCAATCTGGTCGTTGTTGGAATAAAACACAGACAGCTGACATGACCAGAACAACCAGTACAGGTGGATTCGTATAAACTCTGAAAAATGATTTGAATTTATGATAAATAGAAGTTTTAAATGGGTTTTCCTTCCTTGTTGAGGGTTTGGGCGGTGGAGCGGTCTAACATGCGGACTTTAGATCATAAGGTCTGTCAATTATATGAGTGGTATTCTTTCATTCCCAAGCTCGTACATGACAAAGAGTTGGGTTGAAAGTCCAATCTCATGGGTTTTTTCCACGTCATTCGGCAACCCACTGCTAAAGACTAGTATGCGTAAGTGAATTACTGACAAGGGGGACCTAGAATATACCAGTTCTATTCATGATAATATATCAGGGATGAAACGAAATGAAATGAAATGAGGTTTAACTTACTACTGTTCTGCACCAAACTAGGCTAATGAAGCTGGGCATACGCCATACAGTGCTTTGAGGGAAACTTTGCACGCAAATGTGTACACAGGCCATTGCAGGGATCGAACACCCGACCTCCAGGCTAGCGAGCCAGCATCTTACCCACTTAGCCATCGTGTTCCCCTATATCTAGGATGACTCCTTCAAATTTAAATAAGATATATGTATATGGTATACCTGATTTCTGATATAGATGCTTTATCTAATGTTTCTAATGAAGCAATGGCCATCTGTAGAGCTGGTAAAACAGATTCTAGATCTCTTTCACATTCCTACAAAATATACATTAAAAATTTCTATCATATCATTTACACATGGTAACATCACATACATTATACATGGTAACATCATATACATGGTAACATCACATACATGGTAACATATACATTCATGATGACATCACATACATGGTAATATCCCCAACATGGAAACATCACATAGATGTATATGGTAACATCACATATATGGTAATACCAAATACATTGTAAGTTCCCAAACATGGTAGTATCCCATACATGGTAACATAACATACCTGGTAATATCACATACATGGTAACATAACATACCTGGTAATACCACATACATGGTTATATACATGCCTACACTTTCCGAGTGTCTAGATGGCATAGTCACACAAATTTCATGGTGGGTGTGTCCACCTCCCCACAATACTTCTTGAGAGCTGCATTTGCCTCTGAGAAACGTCTATAATATGCTCATATGGTTCTTAAAAACTGAAAAAAACTCTCAAATTCTGAATAATATTTCTTACGTCAGCGTAGTCTTGAACAATCTGTGCTTCTTTATCCATAATATCTTTTTCTTCCTCGACGATTTGTTGAACCTGTTCTACAGCTACCTTGTCTTTCTCTAATTGTTCTAGTAGTACCTCAGTATCCTACACACAAAATAATATGTGGTCATATACAAACACAGAAACAATTTCTATATAAAAACATGTGTTACTTCTTGGAAGGGGGGCAGGGGAATGGTTAACAGATAAGTGTTGCGTTGCATCATAAGGTATGTCATTGAGTCAATTGGCGTGGTTTTGATTGAATCCCTGTTTGTACATGACAAGGAGTAAGGTCGCCTGTCCAACCTACGTGCAAGCTAATTATTGAAATAAAATTGAACCATGTTAGTCCCAAATGACCTAGTTTGTGTCGAGTGGATCTCAAACCCCGTTCCTCTATCACTCTCTTTTGTGAGCATATGCCTTCCACAGAGAACAGACTATTAAATCAATGGACTACGTGAAGAGACAAAAATTGAAATGGGCTCAATCTGTAAGTCAGTCATTCATCCCAGATTTTTTTTCTGGGGCATATCTCATAAGACATGTTTATGAAACTTTGTACACACATCAACCGTCATAAAATTTACGTTAGATTTACGTCATTTTGTGACGTAAAAGTAACCATAACCATTCTGACATAAAAGTAATGTAAATTTAACCATAGAATTTTACCATTATTGGACGCTAACCAAAATCTAACCATAATGACGTAAATTTTATGTAAATCTAACGATCAGTGTTAACTGGGACAGTAGTTCCTACTTTTGCTAAATATAAATTTTTTAGATATAATTTTTTTTTGTGTGAAACAAATTTGTTTTTGGTGTTCAAGGGCTTGGGATGTTGTGACGGAAGTCTTCTCAACTTACCTTAGCTTTTTCTTCTATTTTAGGTCCCAGGGAACCCAACTCGTCCTGCATTTCACCAACCAATGAATTAGCTTCTGATAATTTATATAAACCTATCTGTAATCTCTCTCTAAAAATACAAATAAATACAAATCATAATAGTTAAAGATACATTATGTACCCTTTAAACATACTTTATTCAAGAGCTAAATCTGCCCATTGCAGGTCTTTCTTTAGGGCTGAAATGTTATATAAATTATCAATTAGACATTAATTAACTTATCCAGACCATAATCAACTCTCGATGTCAATGCTAGCCTGCGATATTTATTGGATTAGGAACCAATTTTCTGCTAAACTTTCATTAATAATTTTAAAAAAACAAATAAATACAAATCAAATTAGTTCTACAAACTAACAGAGAACAGATTGAATAGTTTGCTTTTATCCTGGCATCAGAAATTAAACTAGATATATACAGATCACAATCCTATGGAATACAATTACTATTTATTATGTCAAGATGTACACATGATCTCTGTTTTTTTTTGTCTCATCCAAATAACCAGACACTTTTTCATTGCAGGGGGATCACGTGGCTAAGTGGGTAAGACGCTAGCTCGCTAGCCTGGAGGTCGGGTGTTCGATCCCTGCATTGGCCGAGAAAGTTCATCCAGATTTTCCGGCGTGGTTCTCCCTTGTCAGTGATGCAGGACGGAGGGGCTGACAAGGTAAGCTGTCTAGTCGTTCAGATGGGACGAAAAACCAAGGTCCCGTGTACACATTGGCATGCACGTAAAAGATCCCTTGGCAGTTGGAATTCGATATAAGAGTAGGCCGTAGTGCCGCTGTCCGGGCAAAATTTCCCTCATAGCACACTGTATGGCGTATGCCCGTCTTCATTAGCCCAGGTTAGGAGCAGAACAGTAGGACGTTAAACCCCATTTCATTTCATTTCATTTCATTCCAGGCCATCTGTCCTGCTTCACTGACAAGAGCAAACCATGCAATTTTCTTGACCAAATTTCAAGATCGAACCCCAGACCTCATGGTTTGTAAGCCTGTGTCTTACTCCAACCATGATAAGAGAGAGAGGGATGGGGTTTAATGCCCACTCAACCAACTAGGCCATTTCGGGACTAACATATGGTTTAATTTTATTTCAATAATTCGCTTGTGCGTAAGGGTCAATGGGAGGAAACCAGAGGACGTGGAGAAAACCCACGAGGTTGGACAGGCGACCCTACTCCTTGCCATGTATAACCGGAGAATCAAAACCACGCCAGTTGACTCAATGACAGACCGTATGATACAGCGCACCATCCAACCCCAACCCTGATAAGAACTCTAGATGTTAAAATTCTCACCTGTTGTTTACAAACTCTTGTTTATTATCTCGTAACATAGTAGAATAAAGTCTAATAAGTTCCATATAACTGCTAGGTGTTGTATAATAATGACGTCTCATTTCCTCCCAGTATTGTGTGGATGTCGACGAGATACTTCGATGTATATCTACACATGCTCTAGCTACTCTCTCTTTTATAACCTGGAAAGTAAAATATCAAAATTAATACATCAACTCTCTAGATCATCAGATGGCCGAGATATTGAGTGGATGTCATTTCCTCCCAGTATTGTGTGGATGTCGATGATATACTACGATGTATATCTACACATGCTCTGGCTACTCTCTCTTTTATAACCTGGAAAGTAAAATATCAAAATTAATACATCAACTCTCTAGACCATCAGATGGCCGAGATATTGAGTGGATGTCATTTCCTCCCAGTATTGTGTGGATGTCGATGATATACTTCGATGTATGTCTACACATGCTCTAGCTACTCTCTCTTTTATAACCTGGAAAGTAAAATATCAAAATTAATACATCAACTCTCTACACCATCAGATGGCCGAGATATTGAGTGGATTAGACAATGTATTATTTCCTCCAGTATTTAGTGGATGTCGATAAGATACTTCGATGTATATCTACACACGCTCTAGCTACTCTCTCTTTTATAACCTGGAAAGTAAAATATCAAAATAATACATCAACTCTCTAGTTCATCAGATGGTCGAGATATTGAGTGGATGTCATTTCCTCCCAGTATTGTGTGGATGTCGATGAGATACTTCGATGTATATCTACACATGCTTTAGCTACTCTCTCTTTTATAACCTGGGAAGTAAAATATCAAAATAATACATCAACTCTCTAGACCATCAGATGGTTGAGATATTGAGTGGATTAGACAATGTATTATTTCCTCCCAGTATTTAGAGGATGTTGACGAGATAATACGATGTATATCTACACACGCTCTATACTGACTAAAATCTCTTTATTATCTCAGATAATTTTAGATTACATAATATATAATTATAACATATAATTCAAACAATACATCGTATATAATACAGCATTTGATGATTCAAATACTGACTAAAATCGTTTATATTTTACGCAATTTTGAATAACATATAATATAATAATTAAAGTAAAGAAACGTCAGCTGTACCAGTGCAAGGAAACCAAGGAAACCGGAGGACCAGGAGAAAAACCACAAGGTCGGGCAGGTGACCCTACTTCTTGTAACCTCGAAACGAAATCTTGGACTGCAACATGACAAGCAAGAATTCATTAACAGTTGATGGAATATAGTTTTTCGACCAACCAGAATCAAAAAACTTCCATTTTGGGATACAATATCTATGGGAAGAGGTTTTTGAGAAGGGAGTGATTGACCTTCTTCAAGATAAACAGAAATATATCTACATACCATGGGTTCCATGTCGGCCGTATATGCCGGTCAAGACCTAGGGCTATGGAAAATGACCGCAACTAGATCTGACCCAATGGTCATTTTGCATGCCGGAAAAAGAGCCTTTTTTTTCAAAACCCAATTTTCAAACATGGCTACGATCAACCTCCACTATGTAACTATACAATTGTACGGCCAATACAGAATAATGCACATGTATAGAAGCCACATAATCTTGTGATTGGTGTTATAGAGTTTTATACAAAGTCGTAAACTGAGTGTACTACATACCTCCACATCATATCTTTCATCAGTAATAAATTCGGTATTTTGAAAGAAAACTTGAGCAACACTGAGCATAGCCTCATCCGTCCATTCATCGTACCAGTCTATAGTACAGCAGTTAATGAGCGCAGGATTCATTCGACATCTCTGACGGAATTTATCGCCTGCAGGACTCATTGTTAGGACAACGTGAAGGTTTTTTCTAACTCTTTGTATAAAGAACTGATAAACAGCGACTCTTGTGTCCGGTATATCGGCTTCAGAAGCAGCACTCTTTAAATCCATGGTTATTCCGTCCAATTCTTCATTATCAAAAAGATCCGGAACTTCCCCGGAATTCAAGATACAGTTGATATCCTCGAGCAATGATTCCTTCAAATAAATAGTCATACAGAATTCAATATAAAATTCTTAATCAGTTACAGAGATATAGTGTACCTACGTTTTTTATTATGTTTCCAAAAAAATGTGTTACCCTGGCAACAACTTTTTTAATGTTAATTTTTCCTTGTTTATTACATTTTCTAACTACTTGTACCATTTTCAATTCAATAGCTTTAACATTTCAGAACAAAATTTTTCAGATAGCCTCCTCCCTTAAGAGAAATGTCTAAAGCCAGGTTTCTAGTTGTCAGAAAATAGTCAAACGGAAATCAATATATCCTGTCTTTATTAGCCCAGTTGGTGCAGAAAACTAGGACATAGTTAAACCTCGTTTCATTTCATTTCAAAACAAAATTTTCAAGAGCATTGTTCAAAGCAGACTTTCCAGAAATCATGTCAACTTCGGGAAATATGGAAAATGATCTTCCATTTCCCATAACATTTACAGTCTTTAATAAAAAAAAAACCCATTTCTTGATAATTTGTTATGTAGCTTATTGTATTCTGATTCTATATCATCATAGTTACGTTGCTCCAAAACCATCCAGTTTCATTCCAAGCATGAACTTCTAGGCCAGGTGTTGTGGGTTTTTGCTCATATTTCATGTGCTTTTCTTCTTGGTAGAATTGCTTCTTGATAGATTAGACACTGTTGGTCAAGTTGTTTAAGTTCTACTATTGTTTAGTTGACACAACTGCTGTAATGGTGGCCTTATAATTACTTACCTTCACAATGTCGGAATCGGCCAATAAGAAGACAGTATTTTGACCTTTGACACCACTGATTCTGAACACCTTCTTCAAGTCATCTCGGAATTCCAGTGTTCCGTAATGTTTATGTAGGGATAAACGGAAGAGTTCACAGCGAGCTATATGGCTGGCCAGATGAACCACAGTAGATTTGCCTGTACCATCCAATCCAACCTAAATTTAAAATAAAATGCACTTTTAATCGGAAAGATATTCACAAAATGGGGGTGCTTAATAGTCAGTCCAGAAGGTTTAAAAAAATAAAAATAAAAAACACTTATTCACAAAGGGAGAGCTAGATTGTCCGTCCAGAAGGTTTGGATTTGTCAGTACCATCAGAATATATTAAAAAATTTCAGATGACAGATGATTAGTTGATTGTATCATATTCAGTTGGCAAATGCACTGTCACCCTAAATTCTTGTGTTTACTCCATTGACAACTTTAATGGGATTAGGAGAATTCAATTCCAGAACATTCGATCAAATTTCCCTATATATCACAAATACTGGTTTCATACACAAGGGATTTACTACAATAGGATGGTGTCCTGAGCTGAGTCCTTCCTGAAACCTATCTTATGGCTAATAGTGCTATTGTAAGATCTTTCTTTTTCTTTGTTAGATCTTTCTATTCGCAGTGGAACGCAGATCATTCATGGTACTTTTTCTTCTTCTCCCAATGGGATACCAATGGTCTATAATTCAGAGATTAGACTTACTCCCTATGAATGCACAAGCTTGTATGCTCCAGTCAAATGTCTGACGTGGAATGGTTTCATTGGATAAGAAAGCAAGGGTCTTATTCTTGAAAACTAAAATAGTTTTAGAATTCAGTCTTTCGATTGGCTAACAGCTAGAACTTGTACAAAGATTTTAAATTTGAGACAATGAAATGACTAAACTAGTTTAAATGTTCGTGAATGAGGCCTCTGAATTTGGATAAAACTTTTAAAAATTATGGATGGTGCACTAAATCACAGGTTATTACAAATCACTCTACAGAAACGTAAATAAAACTTACCAGTAAAAGATGTCCACCTGGCTGTCTAAAGACTCGAGCAGCTCGTACAATATGTTCTACAGCATCTTTAAAAAATACCAACTGACTCGACTGAAATATACAACATCCCAAAATAATCAGGTCAGTGAATTTTGACGCATTCAAAATGGCTTTATACTCAATTTTGTTAGCGTATCTCATATATTAACGTCTCTGAATGTCAATTAAATCTCTAACAAACTAAGATATTGTGATGATGACATTACTAACAGGAATGGTTTAATTCCTTTCAGTATTTACAAAGATGAATTGAAAATTCGGCAGTACACTGCGTCTTCCTTATCGAGGGGAGGATGGCCATAAGGTCCATCACTGAGTCCTCCGGTTTCCTCCCACTGCTAGCGAATTATTGAAATAAAATTGAACCATGTCAGTCCCAAAATGACTTAGTCGAGTGGACATTAAAATTTCTCTCTCTCTCTCTTTTCCTAATCGAAGCCAGGAAATTATCCAGATTGATATTTGAATTTTATTCTTAAGAAAGAAACTTTAATTCAGGATTCAGACCAGTAACATGAAACAAGAAATAATGGGTGTTTATGAAATGATTGACATACCTTAGAATTACCGAAGTTCAGTCTCATATAATAATCTTCTAGCACTGTGCCTAGTTTACTGCGATCAGCAAGTGGTTGATATGTTCTATTGGTCGTATCAATCTCGAAAAAATCTCCAAATAAAACCTGTTCATTCCTCAACTTCTCGGCTGTCCATTTTACCTAAAATAATAGTACAGTAGATATGTATACAATATTTTGTAACTGTGTATCCTGGAATACCTCTAACAAATACAGTCTGTGCCTTATGTGTGCATGCGCCTGACATAAAATGGCGACGCTATATTTATATTCAATCATTAAAGAAATGAAATGAAAATGAAATGGGGTTTAACTTCCTACTGTTCTACTCCTATACTGGGCTAATGAAGACGGGCATACACCATACAGTGTGCTATGAGGGAAATTTTGCCTGGGCAGCGGCACTATCGCCTACTCTTATATCGAATTCCAACTGCCAGGGGATCTTTTACGTGCATTCCAATATTTACACGGGACCTCGGTTTTTCGTTTCATCCGAAGGACTAGACAGCTGTCCTTGTCAGGCCCTCCTGTCCTGCATCACTGACAAGGGGAAACCACACTGGAAAATCTGGATGCACTTTCTCGAACAATGCAGGGATCGAACACCCGACCTCCAGGCTAACGAGCCAGCGTCTTACCCTCTTAACCATGTGATCCCCTAATCATTAAAGAAACTGTCTTATTAATATATAGACCCCTTTAGGGGAATCACGTGGCTAAGTGGGTAAGACGGTAGCTCGCTAGCCTGGAGGTCGGGTGTTCGATCCCTGCATTGGCCGAGAAAGTGCATCCAGATTTTCCGGCGTGGTTCTCCCTTGTCAGTGATGCAGGACGGAGGGGCTGACAAGGAAAGCTGTCTAGTCGTTCGGATGGGACGAAAAACTGAGGTCCCGTGTACACATTGGCGTGCACGTAAAAGATCCCTTGGCAGTTGGAATTCGATATAAGAGTAGGCCGTAGTGCCACTGTCCGGGCAAAATTTCCCTCATAGCACACTGTATGGCGTATGCTCGTCTTCATTAGCCCAGGTTAGGAGCAGAACAGTAGGACGTTAAACTCCATTTCATTTCATTTCATTTCAGATCCCTTTAGTATTGTAGCTTATATTTCTTCCTATTGTGAGTTTGCTCTATTTTTTTTTAAAAGGAATTTTAATCAATTACTGTCATGCTTCCATCATATGGAACTCTTTACCATGAAAAGTTAAAAACAGTAAAAAGACACAGGCCTTTTTCGACAGACATATTGTAGATGAACTTGAGAGTCACTGTAATTTGCAGCCATTAGTAGTCATTTGGTTGAAATTCCAGCACCATATGTAATAAGAAATGACTGGGCTAATGAAGGCGAGCATATGTCATTCAGTGTGCTATGAGGGAAATAAAGCAATTATGATTAGTAATATTACATACCTTGAAATAATCGTGAAGGTTATCTGAGAGGACATCAAAGAAAGTCATTCTATCCTGTGTATCAACTAGACGGTCATGGAAGACTCGAGTAGCTTCATGAGCCAATAACTGGGCACAACTATCTTTACTGACTATCACCGAATCATTCGCCTGTAATAAACCTTGGATAACCTGGAATATAGAAATAGATATTGAATCAAGGGCTTGTAATAAGTCTGGTATAACCTGAAATATAGAACTAAATACTCAATCAAGGACCTATAATATATTTATATAGAAATAAAGAGAGAGAGAGAAATGGGGTTTAACATCCACTATGCACAAACTAGGTCATTTTGGTACTAACACACTGTTCAATTCTATTTCAATAATTGGTTATAGCAGTGTTTTAGTAGTGGAAATTATAAAACTGGTGGATCCAGAGAAAACCCATGTCACGTACAAGCTTGGGTTTAAACCACATCACTTAACTGACCTAAAGTGTATGTGTTAGATCAATAGGCCCCCATACTACATCCCCCCCCCATACATAACCCCCTAACCATACATAACTCCCTCCCCATCAAAAGACTGTAAAAGGTATCTAAAAATCCTGTTATATACATATTCCCCCAGTCAATAGTTTCTGATGACAGTGGGGATCTGGTAGTTGAGAGTTAGGGCACAGACCTGTCTACCTGTGACGCGTACAAGGGATATTGGGCCTTGTTGTTTGAATGTGACCAAAAAACAAGGTCTACTTGTGTACACCATGGCGTTTATGTAAAAAGATCCCTTGGCGTATGCAGTCGACAGAGAGAGATAGAGAAATGGGATTTAATGTCTACTCGACACAAACTTGCGCATAGGGGTCTTTGGCAGTGGGAGGAAATCGAAGGACCCGGAGAAAACCCACAAGGTTGGACATGCAACCCTACCCCTTGTCACGTACATCCGGGGAATTGAAACCATGCCACTCAATGACAGACCTTATGATACAACACACGCTAACCATTTGGCCACCCAACCATGCTGAAGTGAAAGTAGACAGAAAAGCCACTGTCCAGACAAAATTCTCCTCTTTACTGGGTTGATATCGCTAAGTTATGGCCAACATTTTCAGGAATGAATTCAAGTGTTCTTACCTTAGAGAGATCTCTGATATTAAATGTATAATGTGATTTGGTTGGCGTTGGCAACATGATGCTTCCCATCCTATAATATATCGCAATACTTGCCGACACCATCGCAAATAAACAATCTTGTACTTCGGGCATAAACTCGCCATCTTGTAAAAATCTGCCGAGCTGAACCTGGTATATATGTTGTAATGATCTAGTTGAAGGCTGGGGCAGAGCAAAAATACTGAAATAACAGACAGATGTAGAAGATCAGATAACACTGTCACCTGGGTATCATTTAAAGATACATTATGGGAGATTCGATAACGAGTTGGCAGTTCTCACTATAATAGTTAAAAACTAGATAATGTAAAGGCGACTGAAATTCCCATAAGCCTCAGGAAATCAAATACTTGTAAATTGGACACTCATTATCAAAATTAATCAGTCAGCCTTAAACTGGTCACAAGTACAAATAGATGACTTTGGGTGATTTTAAATGATTTTTACTAATTTTTAAACAAAGATTTGATATTAAACGAATGTGAAAGAAATTAGTGCTAAGAACACAGGATTAAATGATACCCGGGTTACAGTGTTAAAGGACAATATTGGTGTCAGTCATTATAAAATATGTGATAGAACTGGTTAAATACATCCCAAATATAATTTTAACACAGATATCATTGCTACGGGAGATGTGTAACAAGCATGTGAAGAAACGGGAAGTGACGCCAAACATGACAAACACACGAGTTATCATTCTATATAACTGATTGAATTAACGAGCGATAACAGACATGCGATCGAATTTCATTTCACTGATAATTCAGTTGAAGGTGAAAAGTTATTATATGAGACGGTGAGAGGATATCTGACAATTCAAAAATAGAATTTGCTTAGAGCAGTGATTCTCAACCAGTGTGCCCCAAAATTATTAACGGCACACTATGTAAATGCGAAAAACCATTGGTGTCTATTGGTAAGTTAAAAGCTGTGTTTTTCTTTATTTAGTTTGAATCATGCTATGTGTCTATGACTAGTCTCTGTCTGCCGTCTATAACTTGCCATGTTTTTATTTTATAAAATTCAAATATTTTTCATATATATTTACCCAGATGTGCTGCTATTTTTTCATGAGTTCCAAGGTGTGCCGTGGGCAAGAAAAGGTTGAGAACCACTGGCTTAGAGTTACAACGTACTATAATATGGTCATCTACTGATTTCTTTAATATGTTTGAAAACTCTCATCCTTATATTAGTTAGCCCCCAAAATAAACCATTTAATCAAAATAAATCATTTTACCAGAAATGTTTGAGTAATCTGGGACTGGTTGGATTTCTTCCACCACCAGGTGGACCACAAGCTGTAACCAAGGTTACATCCAATATATCCTATAATGAAAGAAAAAAGAATTCTTATAAAACATTTTTTTGTCAAATTCACACTTCAAAGTTTGGAGGAAGGAAAGTAATGGAAAACATATCTTTATATAAAATTCTGATATTTGTCCATACACGTACCTTCCATTGTAATTTCTTGGTATCGTAGAAACCACCGAGTTCTAGATATTGACGTAATAATTCTAAAGGCGGCTGGGCACCATATTGTTCTGGTGCCGGCATATTCAAATCATCCACAAACACAACCACCTGAAGTAAAGGAAAATTCATACAAGTTCACTCAAAATTTTTTTATCATTACGAGTATGGAGTAAAGGATCATAAAATCTTGGAGTTTCGAATTGAGCACTTTCGCTGAAATGACATCTTACATTTCTGTATCAATCTAGCTAATGAAATGAAATAAAATGGGGGTTTAACGTCCTACTGTTCTGCTCTGACTGGGCTAATGAAGATGGGCATATGTCAACAGTGTGTTATGAGGGAAATTTTGCCCAGACAGTCGCGCTATGGCCTACTTTTATATCAAATTCCAACTGCCAAGGGATCTTTTACGTGCACTCCAATGTGTACACAGGATCTGTTTTCCATCCCATCCCAACGACTAGACAGCTTTTTTTTTCAGGCCCTCTGTTCAGCACCACTGACTGACAAGGGGAAACCACATCGGAAAATCTCGATGAACTTTCTCAGCTAACACTGGGAGCGAACCTGCGACCTCCGGGGCTAATGAATACTGGCATATGCCATGCATGTGCTATCAAGGAAAATTTTGCTTGTCGATTAATCTTTAACGTGCTCTTTATATTTTACCACTAGAAGCTACACATTGCCAGGCTCTCTGCACTAAACCATGATAATCTCATGGAACTTTCTTGGTCAACATCGGATTGAACTGGGGAATTCCCCATTAGTGAAATGAAATGGGGTTGAATGTCCTACTGTTCTGCTCTGAACTGGGCTAATGAAGACAGGTATATGCCATACAGTGTGCTATGAGGGAAATTTTGCCCGGACAGCGGCACTACGGCCTACTCTTATATCGAATTACAACTGTCAAGGGATCTTTTACGTGCACGCCAATGTGTACACAGCATTTTGGTTTTTCCGTCCCATCCGAACGACTAGACAGCTTTCCTTGTCAGGCCCTCCGTTCTGCATCACTGACAAGGGAAAACCATGCCAGAAAAATCTGGATGAACTTTCTCGGCCAATACAGGGATCGAACACCCGACCTCCAGGCTAGTGATCCAGCATCTTACCCACTTAGCCACCGTGATCCCCCTCCCCATTAGTGAGCCAGTGTAAAACACAAATGAGCCCCGACGCCTCCCTTGTTTGTAATTGCTAATGATAAAATAATCGGGGTGTATTTTAAAAATATATCAATCTCACCTTTCTGCCTTTAGGAGCACCCATTGCATCTTTACCCTTCTTGATCAACTTGTGCATTATTTGAGCCTGAAGTCGAGCTGAACTTGTCTGAGCGCTGAACTGTATGGTGGTACTCAACAGGCCAGTCTGAATCTTTGGTTTCGCTGTGCCGAGTAAAACATCCAGTGATTTACTTTCGGTTTCTTCCTCGCCGAACCTAGTCAGACTACTTATGTCATCCAAGATGGAGGTGTGTTTCTCTGAATAGTTAAAGATCTCGCCAAGAATAGTTCCATTCTTGTAAGTTGTTCCCCCTTCTTTTTGCAGACGTTTTAACATGTTGTTGATAATGGCAGATTTTCCGACACCAGAATCCCCTAGAAAAAATATAGTAATGATACAAATGTTTAACCTTAGAGGCATCGGAAATAACTGATTGGGGAATCACCTAAAAAATATATTAATGATACAAATGAATCATCTTAGAGGCATCGGAATAAACTGATTGGGGAATCACCTAAAAAACATATTAATGATGCAAATGAATCATCTTAGAGGCATTGGGAATATCTGATTGGGGATGGGATGTTGAACACTTAGAAATAACTGATTAGGGCTAGGGTGTTAAAGACTTAGAAATAACTGATTGGGGCTAGGGTGTTGAAGACTTAGAAATTACTGACTGGGGCTAGTGTGTTGAAGAAATAACTGGGGCTAGGGTGTTGAAGACTTAGAGATAACTGATTGGGGTTAGGGTGTTGAAGACTTAGAGATAACTGATTGGGGATAGGGTGTTGAAGACTTAGAAATAACTGGTTGGGACTAGGGTGTTAAAGACTTAGAAGTAACTGATTAGGGTTTGGGTGTTGAAGACTAGCGCAGTGGACGCTTACGGCTGGCCCATCCAATCACTTGATTTGATATTTGTTTATTTGGTGCAATATCTATTTTATGTCTTGTCTGCAGGTTTATCTTGTAGATTTTTGTTTTACGTGGAGCGCGGTCTTCCTGCACTTACTATTAGAAATAATTGATTGGGGTTAGGGTGTTGAAGACTTAGAGATAATTGATTAGGGCTAGGGTGTTGAAGACAGAGATAATTGATTAGGGCTAGGGTGTTGAAGACTTAGAGATAACTGACTGGGCCAAGTTTGGGTTAATGGTTGGTTTAGGGGACTGAAGGCAGGGATTAAGAGTGTGTCAGCAGGTATCTGTAACAGTCTGAACTGACAGAATTGCCATTAAATGTCACAATTCTGTCAATGCAACTAACTCAGCAAGCATGTTTCAGATTATTTGGTTGGTTGAGATATTTTGTTATTCTATTAATCTTTACAGACCCAAATCTTATTATTGGGATTTACAGAATTCAGTTCCGTAAAGTTCAATCCAATTTCCAATAAGTGTAACTGTCTGTACTTACCTGTAATAAGAACTGGATGTTTATGAAGCAGAAGTAAACTAGTCAGGAAAGAGAAGCGGATGATGTCAACAGTTGGAACAATCTCCGCCTCCTGAGGTTCATCACTTTTCTTCTGATCAGACATTAATCCCATTGTCTCTCCAATCGTTATCATGGCCCCTTTTTCAATCAGCGATTTGGTCGTTGGTATCATTGCATCCCAGGGAGAGAAGCCGCCCGTCTCCATATTGACGAAGAAACTGTACATACTCCGGTTGCCGGCTGGTAATCGTACACCTAATGGAGGCTCAACTTCAAAGATTTCCCTCATAAAATTATCGAATTCGTTACAGATATTAACATCAACGTCTTTATCCGAGCCTCGACGACTGACCTCATCCTCGTCCATATCCTCCTGACGTCGCAGTATGCCGCCCACGCTCCAGGTGTAACAAAAGGCGTAAAGTTTACCCAGAAAGTTCAACAACTGACCAGGACTTTTATGTAAGTAATATGGTTTATCATTCCTGAAAAATACAAATAAAGAGTTCGAATTTGCACCAGTAGAGAATTTAATTATAGCACTGGAACCTGGGTATCATTTAATCTTTTGTATCTAGCATTAATTTCTTTCACATTCGTTTAGTAACAAATCTTTGTTTAAAAATTTGTAAAAATCATTTAAAATCATCCAAAATCATCTAATTTGTAACTGTGTCCAGTTTAAAGCTGACTGATTAATTTTGATAATGAGTGTCCAATTTACAAGTATTTAATTCCATGACCACTGTTCAAAAATTAATCATTATACATCAATAATCAGTTGGGTTGTTTATTTTTCAACAGTGATCTAGAAATTAAACGCTTGTAAATTATACGCTGATTATCAAAATTGAATGGTCAGTTTTAGACTGGACACAAGTACAAGTTAGATGATTTTTGGTGATTTTAACAAATTTTTAAACAAAGATTTGATATTAAATGAATGTGAAAGAAATCAGTGCTAAATACACAAGATTAAATGATACCTGGATTACAGTGTAGCAATCTGATTAAAATACAGATCTATATTTCGTTTCGTTTTTTATACTTTCGATGGCCGTGTCAGGGGTCGTGCGAGCGTCTTTTGACTCTATGACGTCAGACATTGATTAATCAATCAGTGTTGGCGTTTCTAGTGGTTTACCCACAGTTCTGTGCATGGCACGCCAAAAAGTTGCCGTAACAGACTGGTGGTAACATGACAACTCTTCCAGATCCTAGTGTAGTAAAATCAAGTAAAACGAAATTTTGAACTATAAAAAATGTAACGAAATAGGATCTGTGTTTTAATCAGATTGTAATTATGACCATTTCAACAGTACAGTGTTTTTTTTACATTATCTATAATCTATACCAATCTCCGCTCCCAGAGATAAGTATACTGTTTGTTTATCTCTAGGAAACGTCGGCCATTTTGAATGTCATGTGATGTATCCTGCTGCCGGTCACTTCATAATGATCCAAGATAGATCAGTGCTCGCATTTCTTCAGAAATTTCACGTATTTAGCCGAATCACTCACATTGTGTGCTAAAAATAGTTCCCGGTAAATCATCAAATCGGCTGTTTTTGAAGGAACTTTTGATGTCAAGATGTTTCAAGGATCATTAATATGAAACTCATGCAACGAATCGATGTTTATTCAAATAAATCCTGTCAATCAGGAGCCACTGGGGGCGGAGCATAGGAATCAAATTTAAATGTTCTTTTATTCATGGCAGAAACTATTATATTTATTTCTTACTTGTCATCTTTACTATGCGAATCCTCCATAGCTTCAATATCGTCACGTAATTTACTTTGTCGTTTCGATTTACGTTTAGATTTACCAGACTTGGCTAATGGTCCATGAGATGAGTTTCTACTTGATACACGACTCTCGGTACTACCAGGTCGTAACTCATCCTTGTCTGAAAATAAATCAAATGAAATGAGAGAGAGTGAGAGAGAAATGGGGTTTGACGTTCACTCGGCATAGACTAGGTCTTTTCGGGACTCACATCGTCCACTCGAAATAGACTGGGTCATTTCGGGACTAACATATGGTTTAATTTTATTCCAATAATTCGCTTGGGTCTTTAGCGGTGGGAGGAAATAGGAGGACCCGGAGAAAACCCACAAGGTTGAACAGGCAACCCTACTCCTTGTCACGAACAACCAGGGAATCAAAACCACGCCAGTTGACTCAATGACGGACCTTATGATACATAACAGATGTGCTCACCATTCGGTCATCCAGCAGCCAGGAATCCTGAGAACCCAGAGAAATCCCACGGGGTTGGGTAGGCAATACTATTCCTTGTCACGTGCAACCTTAGGATAAAAACCACGTCACTTTACTCAACCCCTTATTTTAATGCAATGGTTGTTACCTGGGTTACCAAATCCACCATGTTTACTCATGTAGTCAAGGTACGCCATCAATAAATGACACAAAGTGGCCACAATACTCATATCTGGTGCCACCACGGTCTGGAATCTCTGGTATTTCTTCAAGAACTTTAGACCTCTGTCCATACTGTGCTCAAATAGTGCTAGAAGATGATTACGTCCACTTTCAGGAATATCTCTTGGTAGATTCTGTATCCAACTTTTCACAAATGGCCACCATCCCAATTCAACTGGATCCTGAAATTAATTTTTCGTTTACCAACAAAACAAAATGGGGGAAATGGGAATAGGTTTTGACATCTTGATGGTGAAGTTTATTAATACTATGATTCTAGAGCAGTAATTTTCAAGTCATACATTAGATTTTATCTTGTTTGAAACCGATTTGTGAAATGTTGCAATTTTTAACAAACTCAACAGGATCCTGAAAGTAATTTTTCATTTACCAGTAATAAGAGTTAGCGAGTGGGAAATAGTCAAGTCATTAAATATTATAATTCTAGAAGTCATTTTCAAAATGCACACTCAGGGTTTTATTGGTTTGAAAATGACTTGTGAATACATGTTGAAATCTTGTGGTAGAATAAAAATAGTGATTGTATCCATACCAAGTATTCTAGTATTATATTAAAAGACAACTGCCTCTTGAGTCTCAGGGATTATATCACTTAATTAATAAGTAGTTGATTAACATTTGAAACAGCCTATTTTAGAATTCCAGCAACAGAGAGAGATTAAGCTTGAAAATCTTGCTTATGATAAGGATACACCAATTTGAACTTTTATCCTTTCGGTATGAAATGAAAATTTTGCCTTTTATTTCTTGGGAGAAAAACAATAATTTGAAAACAAAAAATCATGGATGCTCATTTCAATTTTATACAAATTTTTTTCACAAGAATCAAGGGTCTTTATTCAAGACGAAACAAAAAATGATGTTGCTGTGACCTAATAAATAAAATCTTGCCGGGTATTGAAATGTTTCAATGATTAAACTAACAGAAACTTTATAAAAATGTAAATTTATAACAAAGACAAGATATACATACCATATAGACCATAGCACATCTACTGATGGTAGCAGGACTAGCTTGAGATAAATTATCTACTTCAAATATTAATCTCATTCCAGGTGCTAAACTAATACGTTCTCCACTAGCCAGACATAAAACCTGAATAATATTAAAACAAACTAAACTAATACGTTCTCCACTAGCCAGACATAAAACCTGAATAATATTAAAACAAATTTTATATTTAATTACAGTTTGGACTAATGACGTATTGGTTGGGGTGGTTGGAGCCTTGGTGGGTAGAGTGTTTGCCTTGACACTGAATAAGGTTGCTCTTCAATCTGATCCCTGCATTGGCCCAGAAAGTTCATCCAGATTTTCCAGCGTGGTTCCCCCTTGTCATTGATGCAGGATGGAGGGCCTGACAAGGACAGCTGTCTAGTCGTTCGGATGGGACGAAAAACCGAGGTCCTGTGTACACATTGACGTGCACGCAAAAGATCCCTTGGCAGTTGA